GAACTACATGAAAAGAAGTCGGCATAATTGTATATCACGTTTTTTAATATTTTTCTTCAATTTCCTTACAATTAGAAGATGTGTCACCCATGCATCAATATGTTGTTTTACAAAAAAAGACATATATTAGTAAATTACATAAATTTTAAAAAAAATTAATCAAACTGAAATATAAGAAGAAATATAAGACTTACCCCCCACCGAAATAGTCGTTGTCTTCAACCCCTAATAATACACCCCACCAAGACCGTTCAATCAACAAATGCATATCATCGTTGAGTTTGTATATGTCAGTGTAACACCCTTGGCTCTGCTCATGTAGATAAAAATCAACTACGGTCTTAGCCCAAAGGGTATTATCCAGAATTGTTTCCGGTAGTTGTTTCCTCTCCACTTCATCTGCCAGAATGGTACTAGCAGGTAACTTATACGAAAGCCAATAGTCATCCATCATGTCCGGCACGTGAGGGGGCTTCTCAATAATTCGATATATTACGCCGTGTGAATCGGGCTCTAGAATGTTGGGAGAGACCTCTTCAACGATGAAAGTGGCCTCTTGAACAGTGGGAGGGGACTCTTAAGGGATGATAGGGGCCTCTTGAATGATAGGGGAGGCCTCTTGAACGATGACATGTGAGTCGGGCTTTTTCTTACGGATTCTTCGCACTATTGGGGTGAACAGAGACGTAATGACACGTGTACACCGTCTGATGCGTGAACTCCGTCTTGCAAGAAAAACCCGACGTAGAGCATCCACCTTAGCGGGCCGCTAAAAATAAATTAATACATAAATCAGTAAATAAACAGACATGATATTAAACAGTGAAAACAAAGACAAATATATTTCAAACTTGCACGGTATTCACCCAAGTCATTATTATATCATTGTTCACAAAATGCATCAGATAACATTTCAGAAGTAAGAACTTATATAAACATTTAAAAGGACAACATATAGGTTTAGTGCAGGTTCAATGACAACATAAAGAGTAGTAGTTTATTCTTGAAACTTAAATTTTCAACACTGTGAAGTTAGTATTTGTCTTTTGGTTGAAGTAATGCAATTCATTCAAGTTTCAATTTGCAGAAGAAGAATAGAATCTGAAACTTAAAATCGCAACGCGAAAATGGCTATCACAACGTGAAAATGACTATCGTAACGCGAAAATGACTATCGCAACGCGAAAATGACTATCGTAATGAGAGAATCGCAATGCGAAATGAAAATCGCAACAACAAAATCGCAACACGAAAATGACTATCGCAATGCGAATTTGACTATCGCAACGAGAGAATCGCAATGCGATTTTCATTTCGCATTGTGATTCTTTCGTTGCGATAGTCAAATTCGCATTGAGATAGTCAAATTCGCATTGCGATAGTCAAATTCGCATTGCGATAGTCAAATTCGCATTGCGATAGTCATTTTCGCATTGCGATAGTCATTTTCGCATTGCGATAGTAAACTATTCTTCTTCTGCAAATTGAAACTTGAATGGATTGCATTACTTCAACCAAAAACAAATACTAACTTCACAGGGTTAAAGAATAAACAGTTAAACAGTATTGGCAGCAACCGAATGAATTTACTAAGCAATCTAAGTGAAATTACGAGTAAATTTATCATCAAGTTAAATATGAAAAATATTAAACTTACCTCGTTGCGTAGAGTATGAACCTCGTTCTGCAACGATGTTATAATCTCACGTAGAGCTGCTACCTCACCACGTAAAGTAGACACCTCAACACGCCATGCACCATTGTCATCGCGTAAAGTACCGACCTCCTCATGCAAGGCATTGACCTCATTACGTAACTCCCCTAACTCATCCCGTGGAGGTGGAGAACAGGAAGATAAACGTCGTGGCATCTTTTCCGGTCGCCTATCATGAGGTGATGGTAGAGAAGAGGCTCGATGATGTGACAGAATAGGTGATGACTCTCGTTGTGGAGGTGTATATTCGGGTCGATCAGGTGATGGCTCTGGGTGAGGTGATGGCTCTCGAAGTGGTGGCTGCTCATCATCCGTGCCATCAAAAAAAAGCTTACTAGCTTGCCACCAATCAGTGGCAAGCTCAGCTTCCGTGGGTGTCAGCCTCTGTAATGGATTGTTGGCATTCTAACAATATAAAAGCTCAAACAAAGTTAAACGTATACTAGTAATAACTTGTTTATAAACATATGGTAGTATTTGTGTTAACTTACATTATTTATTGTAGTATACGGTAGTAAATCTTCCCATTGTTGCAAGGACCGTTTCCTCTTCCAGGAAATAGCCCTAGGAATATCATTAGAAGTTTTTAATGCATATGTCTGCATGGTGGGAAAGGCCTCAAATATCCAAATCTACAAACAATATAATAACAAACATTAGTAATTGTTAAAGAATTAATTATAATTTTGGAAACATTATATAAAAATTATTACCTTAAAGGCCTAAATAAAGCCTGACAAAGTGTATTTGGAACCATCACCACACAAACTTTTCCGATCATTAAAGGCAGACGACAACTTATTCCATGTAGTTCTCCATAGATACGAACCCCACGGAAACATGTTACATGCATTTAGGTCCTCTACCAATTTAATTAGATCATTAGGAATAGGTTGTCGGGCCTCTCTGCCTAAAAAGCTGGCTTGCAAAAGTATTAGAAGGCATACTCGGACAACATCGACGTCATCCATCCGAGTAAAATCATCTTTCTTATTCAATAATCTCGTCAAGTCTTCCACGTGTAAATTCGACTTCTCCGTTGACAGCTCAGGAAAAACCCGAGAAAACCATGATAGGCGGGTAATATGTCTAGTGTACCGATCTACATCATCATGTCCGAAGTGTAGACCGGTGATTAAGCAAAACTCCTCCCGCCCAAAACACGTATACGCCGGTGGAAAATCAAACCATATCTCTTCATCACGACGTTGTATAGTCTATGGTAGATCGCTAGTCATGGTTTGAAGAAATAGATGGGTCAACATAGCATCTCCACCCGGATGTTGTACTTTTAGCCATGGCCCGAAGCAAGTATCCTCAAATATTTTTCTTTGTGCAGGTGAAAGCTTCGACGCAATTGTTTTGGCCAGGCTTACTTTATTTCTTAAGGTCAATTGAGCCGAATAAAAGTTCTGCAAAAACAATAAACATACTAATTTAGATATACCAAAAACTACACTGTGAAGATATGAACAATAAATATAAAGAGTAGTAGTTTATTCTTCAAACTTAAATTTGCAACACTGTGAATTTAGTATTTGTTTTTTGGTTGAAGTAATGCAATTCATTCAAGTTTCAATTTGCAGAAGAAGAATAGTTTCTGAAACTTTAAATTGCAACACGAAAATGAAAATCGCAACACGAAAATGACTATCGCAACGCGAATTTGACTATCGCAACGCAAGAATCGCAACGCGAAATGAAAATCGCAACGACAGAATCGCATTGCGATAGTCATTCTCGGTTTCAAATACTAAAATTGAAAGAAACTTGAATGGATTGCATTACTTCAACCAAAAGACAAAACAAAGACAAATACTAACTTCACAGGGTTAAAGACTAAACAGTTTAGCAGTATTGTCAGCAATCAAATGAATATAATAAGCAATCTAAGTGAAATGATTAATCTATTATTGAAAACACCAGTAAACTTATCATCAATTTCAATATGAAAAACCTAATAATAATGCAAAAATTTCAAAATAAAAATAATTAAAAAAACTAACCCTCGGTGGTTGATTTGGTTGATTTTCCATTTCTGACCGTGAATGATTTTGCCAGAGATGGAGACTGTTATCGTCGTGGGGACTGATTTCGTCGGAGATGGGGACGGATGTCGCCTTAGAGAGTGAGAGATGAAGATGAGACTGAGTTGTGATTTAGGGTTTTAGGTTATGAGTTGCGATTACGGGATATACTGTGGACGGTTCAGTGTTCCGATATATTAATATATTCGTGTTTGGAATTTGAAAAAAAAAATACGCGTTAATACGAATGGCGCTATGTAAATCGCATTGCGATAGTCAGATTTGCATTGCGATTTATGTATTCGCATTGCGATTTATGTATTCGCATTACGATTTACATAATCGCATTGCGATTTACGTATTCGCATTGCGATTTACGTATTCGCATTGCGATTTACGTAATCGCATTGCGATTTTCCAAATTCGCGTTGCGATTTACGTATTCGCATTGCGAATTAGGAAAATCGTAACGCGAATTTGGGAAATCGCAATGTGATAGTCAGAATGCGATTCTGGAAACTGATTTGCGATATCGGAGATCGCGTTGCGAATTATCGATCGCATTCCGATTCAGTTGGTCATTTTGGCAAATCCAAAAAAAGTTGGTTAAAATCGTATATTATAAGGCATTTTTTGTCACTGAGGTTATTTTCTCTAAATGTTATCACTTTAGGTGTCTTGACCGTAACGGCCGTTAAAAAACTCTATTAAGTGACAAGTGTCACATTCTGATAATTTTAGAACTTTTTTTAAAATAAAAAATAAAAATATTATTATATTGAAAAAAGCTCAAAAATTTTCAAATCTTAAAAAATCTCAAACTCTGAAAATTTTAACTTCAATCCCTATAACTATGTCGACCGTCGTCGTTGCCGTCGACCGAATCTACCCTTAATCATGCCTCAAGTCGATGACCAACCACTTGACGAACAACCATTAAAAAACCCTAATCGTGATTTAAATCCACTATTACATATCACCCTAAAGTAATGGTATTATATGTCACATTGTTTGAAAATGATGATGTAACATATGTCAAATCATCCAATAACGATGATATGATACATTGTTCACATGCCAAATTAATAATATTGGTTGACCATTAGTAAACTAATAATTTATTTTCAACAAGGAATATGTTGATAAAAAATTGATGTTGGGATTAAAATACTATGCTGAGATGACCGAAAGTTCGGGTTACTTTGCTGGGACTTCAAGTGAGTGAGTTTTCCAAGTATCTACTTCGAGGATTTTGTCACTCTTCTCATCGTCAACATGCATATGTCTAGGCGGCACATCTCTATGGTTATTCCTTAAACTTTCCTCCATCCAATGGTCCAACTAATTCGATCTCATCCGTACCTTCTCTAGATTGATGATGTCCATCAGATTTGAATTTGAAGCACATCTCTGCAAGAAAAAAGACGCAAAATTCAGGACTGATTCAAATATCCAATTTTATACTCGGTTCACTTAAATTCGATATGGAGTAAGGTTCAATGCTCAACTGATCTGATAAGGTTCAATGCTCAACTGATATGAGAACTACGACTTTAAACTGGTGTCTGAAACTAATTTATCCTAAAAATAAAAAGGTTAAAAGACCATTTGTTGATTTGAACATAGATTTATGTATAACCATTTACGTAAATTCATCTCCTGGATACCTTTAGGATTGCAGGCCCATCAAATTTACTACTACAAGCACGAAGCTGGCATTAATCTTTTACAGAATTTTCCCATACCTGCAAGTATATATATATAGGAAAAAAGTAGGAAGCGGAGTGAACATACAAATAAGTTATTCTCGATAACTTGTATATCAACTATTGCTTAGTATTTATGGGTCCAAATTTATGGATCTGATTCTTAGGAAGCTTTTGGTTCATGTAATCTTGGATTACCGGGGAATGTCATTCTCCCGTTTGATTAGCTCACATTCCCAACCCCCGTAATCATTTATTCTCAACAGTGATATTTTTTGGGTATATTACCGGGAATTTGATTGTCCCCTTCCCTTAGGTATCGTTACATTCTTGGCGTTTTGGACTAAAATGTCCTAATTTTTTTTTCAAAAATATATTTCTTCTGTCGTTGAATAAAAAAAATTCTACGAAGGTTAAATTACAAATTTATCCTTAAATTATTTTAGAGTTACAAAAAAAATTCATAATTAGAATTTTATATGAAGTTCAGGGGTTAAAATAAAATTTTACCATTTCATTAAACCTATATATCTTTTCAATTTTGTAAAAAAAATTATATAAATTTTATAAATTTAATTTTTTAAAGAAAATATATAAATTAATTATATTGAAATTATAGTAGAATTCAACTTGTTAAAAAACAAATATATACAAATTACAATTTGGTAAAATATACATTACAATAATTTTTTATTCCTTTAACCAAACAATGTAATCTTACATTCCTGCTAAACGAACCAAACACAAAATACAACATTCTCAGTAATCTTATTCCCGCCGGTAATCTTATTCTCGCTGATAATCTTACATTCTGTTAACCAAACACACCCTTACAATTATCTAAGAAGATGGGTCCAAATTAGCATTGAGAGAACCATCTCTATTTCAGAATGAAAATTAGGTTAATAACTTTGCACCGTGAGATAATGATCCATAATCTTTCGCGTACCATCTATTATAGGGGCGAATGCACTTGGCCCCCTCTAGGGGCCAGTGCATAATCATTATTTTAGATAAATTATTAAATATAGTTTAATATATTAAGGATAAGAAAATGAAAACAAATCAAACCCATTTTGCTGAAAAAATAATATTTTTATTTCTTAAGTTTTGGATCCGCCATTGATCCACCATATCATTCTATTCTCCAGATTCTCAAATTTTGTAATATAGTAACTATACCTTAGACCAACTAACTCAAATTTCCCATCAATCTTCCATAAAGCGAAAACTCATCAATTTAGTACATTAAATAAGAGTGACTTGCTAAGAGATTTGATGATGAGCGTCTCGACTACATTAAACTTATACTAAAAAAGTCAAGGGTAAAATTAAAGTCAAAATCAAAGTCATATGTCAAATTACATATCAAAGAAAAAATTCAAGTGTCAAATTGCACCAAAAAAAAGTGAGGGGCCTATTGGAATATGTATTCTAGAATACATGATTGTATTCTAGAATATGTAGGAACGTATGCATGTGTTGCTAATATGTGTATTGTGTGTGTGTGTGAGTTGTTATGGCTGTTAAGGAATGTTGGATTCTGTTATGATGTTGTTATAGAGGTTGAGTAAGCTTGAAGGCACATCTTCTATATAAGTTGGTTGTAATGTAATGCACATATTAGGAGCACATGCATACGTTCCTGCATATTCTAGAATAAAATCGTGTATTCCAGAATACATATTTCAATATTCTCCCCGCTTCGTCATCTTCTTCTTTTAAAAAGGTAGAACACACATCTTCTCTCGAAATAGTTTAAATGCTCCTTTTGTTAGTGACTTTGTAACACCATCTGCTACTTGGTGAATTGCAGGCACATAATTGACTTGAATCTGTTTAGCTGCTACCTTTTCACGCACAAAATGAACATCCATATAAACATGTTTGGATTGTGCATGATAAACAGGATTAGTGCTTAATGCAACAGTACTAGTGTTGTCACACCACACAACAGACATGTTTCGATATTCAACACCAAGTTCACACAACAATGAACTTATCCATGTGACTTCTGCAGCAGCATCAGCTACACTTCTGTACTCAGCCTCCATTGTAGATCTTGATACTGGTTTTTGCTTCCTAGATCACCAAATCATAGGACATGGACCGAGAAAGACTGCATGACGAAAAACTTACCTCCTATCATCCAAACTGCCACCCAGTCAACATCAACAAATGCTACAACATCCTTTGATACACCATTGCAAAAAAATGTTAGGCCATAGTTTAGTGTACCAACCAAATATCTGAGTATCCTTTTAACAACAGCTAGATGTAACTCACGTGGACTATGCATGAACTGTGTTTCTTTATTAACACTGAATGATATGTCCGACCTTGTATGACATACATACAGAAGAGCACCAACAATACTGCGATATTCACGAGCATCATTTAATAGTTCACCAGCTTCCTGAGTCATTTTTTAGGCTCAAATCATTGGTGTAACTGTAGGTCTAGCATTCAACAGACTAGTCTATTCCAAAAGTTCAAGATTATATTTGCGTTGAGACAATATCAATGCCTTCTCTGTATGCTTAACCTCTGTTGAAAACATTTTGATGTTTCGATATAACAAATAAAGTCCTATTGAATTTTAAGATTTTATATTCGATTTCAAAATTAATATTCGAGTAAATTATTCGAATATAAAAAATATTTCTCTAAGCTTTCAAATGTCAATTTTAATCCTTACTTAAGTGTAAAATTATGTTTTAGTCTTAAAATATTTTTGAAACAATTTTTACAAAGTATTTCAAACCTCAATCGGGCCAAAAATGATTTTTACAAAGGGTGGTACTGATACACTCTTGGATGTATCAATACACCCCCAACATCGAATGTAATTTGGGTACCGATACACTCTTTGATGTACCGATACACCCCAACATCGAATGCATTTTGTGTACCGATACACAACAGATGTATCGATACACTCCTGGCTCCGAGAAACATCGAATGTAATTAGTGTAGCGATATACCTGGATGTACCGATACACTAAGTCAACCAGCGGTCAAAATATTTGAATTTTACACTGAGTGTACCGATACACCTAGACAGTGTACCGATACACCCACGCTCCCAAGTGATATTTTAATTGGTATTCACACCACAACGACTCTATTGACTTCACCAATGATCCCCGACGTTCAAAAGTGATCCAAGGTGTATTTAAACAAGCTTAAGAGCCATTAATAAAAAAACAAGAAACAAGAATTAAGAGAGAATCAAAGAAAAAGCCTTAAACTTATTGTTTTAGCATTTTCAAGCCTATTTCCATTCAATATTCATTTTGCTTTCAAGAACACCATTTGTGCTTAATTGTATTCATTCTTGAGTGTTCTAGAATTGTTCAAACATCTTGCCTTGTGAGGTTTTTCTGTAAGTTTGCGAAATTTGTATTTTTCTCTTTGGGAGAGAGTGTTCTCAAGAATTTTGGGTATAATTATTGAGGGAGTTGTAAGATTACTCTTTATCCTCAAAAGAAAGAACAAATTAGTAAATTTGTTGGAAAATCCTCAGTGTGTATAGCTAAGGTAATTGATGTAGACTTTGGTTGAGAAAGTCAAACCACTCTATACCGCTGTGCAAATATTTTCAATTTTCTGCAAAAGCTTCCACCGAAATTTTTATTGCCAATTCACCCTCTCTTGGCTGATTCATCGATCGATTAACTCAACAATTGATATCAGAGCTACACTCATTTGAAGGTTTAACCACCTCTTGAGTCAATTTGGGAAGAGTTATATCAATATTCAAGTCATCAATGACCTTCACTTCAAACATCAACTTCGGTATTGATTCAATGCCTGTCAATAAGCCTCATTTCTTCAATGGAGCTAATTATGCTTATTGGAAGAATATAATGAGGTACTTCAATCAAGAAAGTGATACGGGAGCATGAAATATCGTGGAAGACGGATACATCATACTATTCACTCATTCAAGATTGTGGAGTGAAGAAGAGACAAGAATGTTCCAACTCAACTCAAAAGCTATCCATATTATATTTTGTGCTCTTGGACCAGATAAATACGAGAGAGTTTCATCTTGTACAACTACAAATGAAATATGGGATAAACTACAAGTCACTCATAAAGGAACAGACGAGGTAAAAGAATCTAAAATTAGTCTTCTAACTCATAGCTATGAAAAATTCAAGATGAAACCGGATGAAGATATCAAAGCTATGACGGATAGATTTTATGTGATTGTCAATGGTCTCAAATCATATGGAGAGATCATTCTAAATGTGAAGCTTGTGAGAAAGTTAATATATTCTCTTCCTAAAGCTTGGCAATCGAAGAAGACGACGATCATCGAAGCTAAAAATATAAAGTCTTTAACTCTCGATGAACTCATCGGTTCTCTCCTCACACATGAAATGATGATTCAAGATGAGGTAGACCTCGAGAAGAAGGACGAGACAAAGAAGGAGACGGAGAAGAAGAAAAACGCTGGAGTTGCTCTCAAATCCACAAAAGTTTAGAGTGATTCTGATGATGACGACGATGATGAAGAAATGCCATTATTTGCCAAATAGTTCAGAAAATTAATGAAGCCCAACAGAGGAAGTAAATTCAAAAGAAATGAAGGCTTCAAAAATGAACCAAATGAGAAGGACCCTATCATTTGCTATGAATGCAAAAAGCTGGGGCATGTCAAATACGATTGCCCGCAATTAAAGAAGAAGGGTCAATTAAAAAATAATCACAAGGCACACGTGGCTACTTGGAGTGATGATGATGAATCATCAAATGAAGAGGAACAAGAAGTAGTGAACCTGTGCTTGATGACCACCAGGGAAGATTCTCAGGTAACCTCTAACTCATTTGATTTCGAAGATTATTCTTTTGATGAGTTAGTAGAGGAATATACTGGGTTGGCTTCGGATTATGAGAAATTATTTTTGAAATAAAAAAATGATATTTTAAAATTGAAAAACGAAAATGATCTCATATCCAAGACCAACAATGATCTTGAAAGTAAAATTAAAGAATTGCAAATCAAAATCGAAGATTTTGGAAAGAAAAATACTGA